TAATATTATTGGCTTGGAAAGATGGGTTTTTAAGGGGCCAGCTGGCATTCACCTGAGTCGCCAACAGCTGCCCCTGAAGCTTGCCTGGGCCATTTCTATCCACAAGAGCCAGGTTTGTAATATATATCTTATTTTTGTTGGGAATACACAATAATAATGGTTTGTCACTGGACTTCTTTAAGTAACAGCAGAATTTTGCTTTTTGTACAAGACTCCTTATCAGTGTCAAAATCCTGGAATGTTATCAGTCAATTTGTTCTTTTTTTTGCCCATACCTGATGGAATCCAACTTGTTTCGTCCCTGTCGATGATTTATAAGACTGAGCAGACTAAAGTTGCACACTAAATGCCGGTAGGCACAGCTTTATCCCTAAACTTTAAAGTAGACTTAATACGAAAGAGATCATGAGGCAATCTTCATTTATTAACTACTTGTTCAGTGACAAGTTACAACAGTGGTGAAAAAATAATTTTACAGCTCATTTACGACCTCTGCGGCATTCCTCAGTCACGTGATCACCATTACAGTCCATAGGCATGGTCCTTTGCTCAATCTGGTGATTTTTTTTCCTCCCCCATCCCCACCTCACAGAGTAGATTAATTGAAGAGAAGGGGACTGGAAGAAAATAAGCTATTTGCTTTTCTAAAAGCAATCTGATCATGTCAGTAGCCCAAGGCTGGGAACCACAGGCATACTTACTCTCTAGAAATCTCTTTCCAATCTCTGTTTTGCAGGGAAAGAGGAGGAAAAAAGCAAGCAATTTCTGCAAGCAGGCTCTTCTTTGTCTGACTTTTTCCTACTGCCACTTTCTATTGAAGTGTAGAAAAGCAATGACTTATTCTCTTGAAATCTCTTTCTCTCCAATATCTCTACTTTGTGGCAGAGAATATAAAGGTAGTGATTTCTGCAGCCAACCTCTCCTTTATCTGACATACCCACCCACACACACACACACACCTAGATAATACCATCAGTGAGAGTCAGTGTGGGTTTTCCTCCCTGTTTATGTACAGTATAGTTAGTCCTCAACTTACAAACGTAATTGGGACTGGAATTTTGGTCAGAAGTTGTCGTACCCATGAGTTTGGACCTATATTTTGCTGTTTTCACAGCAGTTGTTAAATCCAAATTACATAGTAATTAAGCAAAATACATGACGGTTAAGCAAATCCATTATCCCAAATGAATGGTTTTGGCCAGAAACTGGCAAAAAAAAAGCCATTGGAAACTGTGGGGGGAGGGGGGATAATAAATCATGGTTTTGGGACTGTGGGATGCTGCACCTAGTCATAAATGTGAGCCAGTTGCCAAGCACCTAACATGTAACCACATTGTAGTATCAGTGCAAAACCTTATAGGCCATTGTATCTTCAAATGATCATTAAATGAACGATCATAAGTTAAGAACTACCTGTAGCTTGCCCTGCCAATTTTGGTGGGAAACCAAAAAAAACCCCAAAACATCATTTCCAGTAGCCAACATCCAGATAATAGGGATTAGCGTTAAACAAATAATAACACGCTAGACGATTCCCTAATCGAGAGACAGCCAAGGAGAAAACCATACCTCCACCAATACTGTCAGGGCAAGCAACTGTATGTAAATAGAGAGCAAACCTTCCGCCCACATCAGCACTAATATTACCTGGTCATGTAATGAAACATCTGTGAGTAACAACCAAGCTCAGAGAGCACAAGGTCTCCAGTTATCCCAATGTTTGCAGCCCTAATATGGTAACCCCATAATACCATTTAAAGTTCTATCCCCTAATTCTGGGGTCAGCAGAAAAGTACACTGGCCTAAATTTTGCTGACCCAATTTCTGAGGATATATATACATACTGCTACACAGTAATTACGCTGATGATTGGTGCCCTCTTTTTTTAAATTTGGGACAAAGCAAAAAAAAATTGGTGGATTCCCCTGGTTTCTCATTCCTTGGCTTCCCTTCCTATTAAGCATTGCTCACCAGCTGGAAAATAACTAAGGACTTTTGCTAATGTGGGTTAGGACAAAGTTAGGTGAATGTAGGCAGGTACTCAGAATGACATTATTAGCCTCCTGTCGAACTCTCCAATTAAAAGAATGCTAAATATTCATCCCAAAATAGCCTGCATGATAGGTCACAGTCATGGAGGACAGTAAGCTAAAGGGAGAAAGAACGGTTGAAAACGTGTGAACTTCATCCTCAGGTAATCTTGCAAGGAATGGCAGTGCCTGCTTAAAACCTGGTAAGAGCTTTAGAACAAGGGTCTGCAACCTTGGCAACTTTAAGCCTGGAGGACTTCAACTCCCAGAATTCCCAAGCCAGCTTTGGGGAATTCTGGGAGTTGAAGTCTTCCAGGCTTAAAGTTGCCATGGTTGGAGATCCACTTTTGAAAGCACCAATCAGACCTCAGTAGATTTATCTGTAGAAAAACTTGTGCTACTCTGTAGCAAAACTTGTGTACGGAGAATTACTTTAAAACTGGTACTAAATAGTTTAAGATACATGGCAAGTAGAATTAAGTGGAACTGGAAATAAGTCAAGATCTTAAGGATACAGACATTAAAAAAATAGTTACTGACATATTTGTACTGCAGTCAGAATACAGCAAGCTCATACTTGTAATTCTATTTACTTAATATTTTCCCATTATTATTCCAAAGATAAACCTGAGATATACATCCTAGCAGATGACTTATCTACATACTTCCATATGCATTTAACCGTTGGTGTTGCTAGCTTAGTCTTGTCTACTAATGACTTTCAATCTTCACTTATTTCTTTTTCTAGGGTATGTCTTTAGACTGTGCTGAGGTTTCTCTAGCTCGCGTCTTTGAAAGTGGGCAGGCATATGTAGCACTTTCTCGAGCTCGTAGTCTGGCAAGTCTTCGAGTTTTGGATTTTGAAGCCAAGGTAGTCAGAGCTAATCCATGTGTATTGCGATTTTATAAGGAGCTGAAGAGAGACCAATTTTTAAATCAGGTAATTTGTCATTAGGCTATTCCCGAGTAGTACACTTTGGAGACAATACAGGCTGGATACTTGGGGATGGGGGTGGGTGAGAATTAGAGGAGACTAGAGGAAGGCCCTTAACTGATTAGTGGCATTACTGAGGTTTCTGGGTAGAACAGTCCCGAACTCTTGAACAAATATTTTTTGTTTGTAGTTCTGTTTTTGCAAAAGGTATTTTCCATTTGCCCTCATCATCATTAATAAATTACAGGCCACAACTTTACTACTTAAAAAAAGTTTTAACAGATCAAAGTAGATCTCAGTATAAGGGGCTGAACAGAATAAGTATGTGTTTAATAACTTGACACTGACTTTGTTTGCTTTTATTTAGGCCTCTTTGCATTCCTATATTCATGCTGATAAAGAAAATGAAATAGTTAAAGGAACATTTACAGATTGAGAATTCCTGGTACTATTTTTTTTAATTAATTTACTTTTGGAACAACTGCTTCTACAAATTCAGTATTTTATAAAGTATTGAAGCACCGTGAAGAAGAGAATTATATGAGACATCGTTTTCTATAAACATGGACAGTCCATCTGCCTAAAATGAACACTGAAGTTTTAACCCAAATCATTCTGCTTCTGAGTTTGCACTGACAGAATTTAAAAATTACTTAAAGCCACCTTGACAGAATAGTCAAACTCTGCTAGGATATTTACTTCAAATAGCACTTACACTATGTGTATAGTAAGTATTTGACATTACTGAATAAAACTTTAAACCAAGTAAGATTTTACCTAATGGTTGTAAGTGTATGATTGATATTTCTATACCCTAGACTATTTTGCTTCTCTTTTAATGTACCAATTTTGAGAAAGGTCTTAGATTTTTTTAAATGAAGAGAACTTTCATTTTCTTTGTACTATACAGTATTGAATGCAATATAGCTTCTCAAGTTTAAAAGAAAGCTAACCAGATAAGAATGATCTGCATCACATCCTAGAGTCTACAGAGATTTTTCTGCATGCATTGTATTGCCATTTCAGCAATAGAATTTGTTCCCTTAGCAGAATTTGAAAAAAATTCATTCGAATTCAATCAAGAGCCGTGGTGACACAGTGGTGAGAGTGCTGTACTGCAGGCTACTTCTGCTGACTGCTGATTGCCAGCAGTTCATCAGTTCAAGTCCCACCGGCTCAAGGTTGACTCAGCCTTCCATCCTTCTGAGGGCGGTAAAATGAGAACCCAGACTGTTGGGAGCAATATGCTGACTCTGTAAACTGCTTAGAGAGGGCTGTAAAAGCACTGTGAAGCGGTATATAACTCTAAGTGTTATTGCTAATTTACAATCTAAACACCTTTTGAAGGAAAATTAAATTTGCTACTTAAATAACATTGCCTATACTTGTTAAAATGCACTCTCTTCTACATGTACAGCAAGCAATGCTAGATGAGATTTTCTGTTAACTATTTTAAGAAAATAATGCTATAGTCTAGTGGTTAAGGCACCAAGCTAGAAAGTGGGAGATCGTGAATTCTAGTCTTACCTGAACCATGAAAGCCAGCTGGGTGACTTTCACTCTCAATCATTGTCTCTCAGCCCAACCCACCTTACGGGGTTGTTGCAGTGAGGAAAATAGGAGGAAGGAGTATTTGGTATGTTTGGTGCCTTATTTGTAAAATAAGATGGGATACAAGTAAATAAATAAAAATATTACTTTTATATTGTATTGAAAGTATTACAGAGCTACACTTACATTAATTATTCCCTATTTATGATCTGCAGACCAATCAAGCTACTGCAGGTTGACAATACTGCAGACATCAGGTTACATGAGATTTTGAAGTTTTCACTCAATTTGGAATTATCTTGTTTTTATGAAGTGATTGCATGAAATAAGAAACCAGAAATTTAACAGGAATTTTGCCTCACCATCAGCTAACAGAAGTTAATTATTCAAAGTGAGCTTGAAGTAAAGGAACTTGGCCAATTATACATAAAGGAGCATGCAATCTTTTTCATAGCAGTAAAAAAAACATTTCAGCTCTTATACTGCAGAAACACTTTAATAACACTGATTGCATTTGACACCTCTGGAAGAATCCATATCCTGACAACAAAGATGCATAGTCAGAACATTAATTATGTAATCCCAAACTTTCTAAGATGAGACTGATTTCCCAGTAATAACCAGTAAACTTCAGGATTTTTGGAAGAAAAATTCTAAACAGTCACATATATCACTGATTTAAAAATACAAAGTAGACATATTGACAAGTCCAATGCTAAACACTGAACAAAATTAGGGGACCATGCTTGGCCAAAATATGACAGTTGTTTTTCCACTCTTACAGATACCAAGACACAACATTCATGACATGTGTAATAAAATAAGAGTCTTCAATCCAAAATCTCTTTTTTGTGTGCTAGAATATCCAAAGGAAACCAAAATGAATTCAATGGGCAAATACCCAGTGTCTTCCAATCTGTGGAAGATGTTGATGCTGTCACACTTATAGAAGAAGCACTACAACTAGTATCCCCTTTTTCTTGTGAAAAGCTATTTCCGACTGATGGTACATTATAAAATGTTTTAGGAAGATCTTCACTATTGTTTACAAGAGGACTGATCTTTGCTTTCCTTGTATTTTTTTCATTCTTATAGTGTGCGCTTAAATCAATATAGCATTTATACATATGTCCCTTAAGTTTCTTATAATCCAGATGACTCAGTTCTTCTGGTAATGACAAAAGCAGATCTAGTAGAACAGCTGACTCTGCAGGAAGCAAAACATAATTAGTGATTGGGAGCTATTTCATGCTGTATTTTATTTTCTAATTGACATTTTCACAAGTCTATACTTCCCCAAAAGGTCTAGCAAAATAGTTGTCACTGTTCACTCTTTCCTGCATCATCTTATTTGAATTTTAATTATCTCCAAGTCTTAAGAAATTTATGGCAATTACTAACATGCTTTTTGTATGAAAAGCTAAATGAAAACTGGTCATTACAATAACAGCTATAATTTCTCTATTATATATGTAGAAAATTCTCTTAACTCACTTCTCATTCCTATTTTCACATGGAGAAATTTGCATTTGAAAATTTTTCCTACTCTAAAATCTCAACCATTGTTCCATAAACTACTCTAAACTACTCTACTTTTCCTACTCTAAAATCTCAATTATTGTTCCATAAACGTTGCTAATAAACAAGCACGTTTTATTTTGATCTCATGAGGAATAACTGGAACTTTAAACAAGCCTTTCCTTAATTTATCATCCTAAAAGTACAAAAGTAGGTGGCCCACAGAGCTGGCCCTAGCATATTGGATGAGAAATTATTTTAAAACATTGCAGTACAGACTACATGTTTCATAACTGCTCTTTTGTTTACTATAGTTTATAATGGATAATTTTTCTGCAGAATGCATTGTAGGTGGAGCCTTTATGGACTTCCATTTTTTTTTGTATCTCTACAACTGGGAAACTAGGGAACTGCTTTATTTTAAATTTCTGCTGATTCCTATAGTGAAAATTTTGCAACTGTAAAGTAAAATAACTAGTTTATTGAGTTTGTAAGTTAATATATGTGTTTAATTCACACCAACAACACCACCAAATCTCAAATGCTTATCCAACTGCCATATTCTTGCTTCCTTCACTGTAAATGCTACTCATTTTTATAGCTTTCACATATCAATATTGCAATTAAAAATATAAAGTATCTCTCACCAGAGTCACACTTGGAACAAATAAGCTTTCAGGGATCCTTGGTGCTCCCAGCTTGTTAGTTTTTCTTCAGGTAATTCATTACCCAAATTAGGTGACATCACCAGTGCTAATATTTCCCTTGTCAATGTTAATGGATGTTGTCTTGGAGGTTCTACTGCCCTAATCAAGAACTGCCAAACAAGGTATCAGTAAACAGTCCAACCAAATGCCACTGGGAACAGCAGAACCTCCAAGACCATTCCCATTAACACCAACAGGGCAAATGCTAATAACAGATAACCAGAGTTGGAAGAGACCTTGTAGGTCATCTAGTCCATCCCCCTGCCCAAGTGGGAGACCCTCCACCATTTCTGACAAATGATGATGTTACGCAGTTTGGGTAATGAAATGTCTAGATAAAAACTACCAAGCTCAGAGAGCATCAAGATCCCTGATTTCAACCCTGAGCTACAAATATTCTCCTTTATTGGTAAGTAAGCTTTCAAATGTACTGAAAATCTTGGAGACAGTTCAAGATTTTCTTTCCAGTTCTAAGGCTTTTTCATTCCCTGCAGCTTCTATACAAGAGTCTTCCCTTCAATAAGAACCCAGAACAGTTTACGAAAATGAAATTTATAATAAAGAACAACACGATATTAAAAAGTAGATATAAGAGCAACTAAGATTTAAAGATAGCGTAAATAAAACAATTACTGCCACCCAGACAAAAAATAGATATAACTCCAGATGCAAGAATAGTACATCTTATCTCTTCATCTTGGTCTAAATCCTGACTTACCACCAGGTGGTAGTTCTGGTGCTTTAGATCCCCGTGAGATCACTGAAAGATACTTGTATATTTTTTCAAAGTCCACATGTAATTCACCATTTTCTGCAGGGGTCAACTGTTCTATATTTGATGATATAGTTGCTTCCTCAGATTCTGTATTGGATTTCATATTCTTGCTAGGAACAGCTGGGGTCATGCATTGAGAAGCATTTACTTCTACAGGCTTTGGTGGCACAGAGTGAAGCAAGGAGAGTGGTTCTGCAGATGCAATTGTTAAAACCTAATTAAGGTAATCAGAAGAAAAAATATCCAGTAACTCAAGTGCCAGAAAACAGAAATTCTCTACAGAGTATATTTTCAACTACTGCATCTCTGCTTGGAAAGATGAAAATTAAAGGATTGAATAGCTGTAGTTAGCAATGGTACAGATGGTTTTTTCAAGATAACATTTGCATATTCAAACCTTAAAATCTCTGAAATTATTATATTCATAGAAATATTTATCTTAATAAGATCATGTCATAGAGAGGATATCACTATTACCTGGGAAAAAGCAGCTGTTACTGCATCCTCAAGGCAACCTGTTAACTTCTTAGCTAAATGAATCCATACCTGGAATAGAGAGTATGACACAATAAATGAGTATCTTTTAACCTACTTGTCTTATTTCTGAAGCCATACTTTTAACAATTTCAGACCTCTATAGGTGCTGGAACTGGGGCATTCTTCTCTTTGCATTGGCGATATCGATACCGTGCCTTGACTGCTTCCCTTGCCACACGTTCTTTCAGGAGGTCTACAAATGCTAAGATCTGCAAAATATCACACATGAATGTTTAGAAGAAGGCATATTCTATTCTTAAACCAGCATTGAAAATGGTTATTTACAGAAAAAAATGCAGTTTATTCCGGTGCAAAAGAGAAATATTACAATCAAAGCAGAATCATTTTGTTTTCTGTGACGTTGTGCTTTGTCAGTCATAGGAATAGTTATATCCAACCCACTTCATGAAAGCCCCCCACTGTAAGTTTTGCTGATTGCACGAACAAATTGAGACACCTACTGAACTTTACATTTTCAAAAATGGAGAACTAGAGTCACTAATTAATGAAAATTCTTTAGCCACAAACACTAAGTGAATCTTAACAGCTATGATGGCATACTGTTTAGAACAGGGGTCCCCAACCACCGGGCCATGGACCGGTACCGGTCCGTGGAACATTTCCTACTGGGCCGCCGGTTTGCTGGGCGCCACCATCTTGTTTGATGAGAAAGTACTTCCGGGTGAGCTTTTCTGGTTGGAAAGCGGCGTTTGGGTCCTGAAGGAATCCTCGCGCCTTAGTTTCATCGAAGGGGGGGGGGCTTCGAACGAAACTAAGGCGCGAGGATTCTTTCAGCACCCAAGGCAAGGCGAGCCGAGCGACCGTCCTGAAGCGAAGCCCATCGACAAAGAAGGAGTTGAAGGTGGCGGGGAGAAGCGGGGGACGGCTGGCTGGCCGGTTGCTCGGCTCACCTTGCCTTGTCATGCGTGCTGATGCCGGTACCGGGCCGCGGATCATTTTGTGATGCTGATACCGGGCCGTGGCACAAAAAAGGTTGGGGGCCACTGGTTTAGAATGTATTTCAGGCAAACTCTGTCCACTGCCAGGAGTTCAATCATGACTGGCTCAAGGTTGACTCAGCCTTCCATCCTTTCGAAGTCAATAAAATGAGGACCCAGATTGTTGGGGGCAATATGCTGACTCAGTCTATAAGTCTATTGCTAAGTATAACACTCAGGAGAATCTGATCTGTTTCAGGCTATGAAACCTGCTAGTTAAACAAACTGGAACACCTTATTAAGAGACAAAATTTTACTAATAGAAAGCTGGTTGTATTCAAGTATCTTTTCTTTTATGTACACTGAGAGCATTTGCACCAAGACAAATTCACACTTGGCCAATAAAGAATTCTATTCTATTCATTCTATTCTCTTTTTTTTGCCTTTTTTACCTCATGGAACCCATTTCATGGATATTTTGGACCTGAGAAATAATTAGTCCAAAGTCATATCTCAGAATTGTAATTCTGAGGATTAAAATATGGGGAGACTCCATGTATGCTATTTGACTTCTTTGATAGAAAGGCTGGATGGAAATGTAATAAAAATACACACTAATAGGAAGGCAAACATTTTTCTATTAACAGATAGTTCTGCTTTGATTTAAATTTGGCTTGACGATGAATTCTTAAACATGGGAAAACTTATTCACAGCCGTGCCATTTCTTTAGACATAAGAAAGTATTGCTGTTTGACATTTAGGCTTCTTTTACAATTCAAGAGTTATGTTTTACCATTCAAAAGCTATACATTCAGCAGGCCACATATAAGCAAGATAGACTCTTAGTGTATGTTCCACATTCTTTATCACAGAGACAAGGGTTTGTAGTTATTTCTTCTCTCTTCTCTTTGTTTTCAAAAGCTTGGGACACTTCCATTTCATCTTTAAATGTCCTGTCTGCATCACTCAAAGGCACTCGCCTGCCACTTTCAAACCCACTTCACAATTAGAAATATATTAAGTTCCCATCTTCAGGCTAGATCACTGCTATTATTTATCTCGTATTTGGGCAGCTGAAATTCAAAATGGGCCATGTTAAAATGAAAGATAATGTCCAGATTAAACAGTGACTAGGATAACTCAAAACAGTTTCAACCCGTAACAGGAAGTAATTACCTGTATATAGCACATAGTATACATTCTAGCACAAATTCTTCAGATATTCCTGTCTTTCGTGTTAGGAGGATCCTACCGAAGCCTTTTAAGTCACCCCAACCCACAGACTGCGCCTATAAACCCACCTCATCCTCATTTCTGGAAGGCAAATATTTCTTCAGCTGTTCCGGCCGCAGCGGGCCCGGAGTCTGGGCTTGAGCTCTCAAAGCCTGGAGAAGACGTCGCTTTTCTCGATCCGTCCAAACCCGGACTGCGGGGTCCAGGCGGAAGCGAGCGGGCGCCGATCGCAGCCTCGACGGGGGCTTCATAGCTCTCCACCCAGAAAAGCCCAGGCGCCAAACTAAGAAAAAGCCGGCGGGAGGGGGGGGAGAGGAGCGCCTTCGCGTTCCCGCGCAACGAATTTCGCCGCCCCCTTCCTTACTCCTCCCGCCCACAAAGTTTCGCAGCCCGCGGGGCTCAAGACCGCATTTCGTAACACAAACACCTCGCCAAGGTACGATTTCCAAGACTCGCTTTCTGATGACGTAGGCAGCTTACGCAACCACCGGCGACCGGAAGGAGGAGAGGGGGCTGGTGACGTAGCCGACGCTTCCAAAGGAGGGGCGGGGCCTGTAAGCGGTCGGGGAGTCACAGAAGGCTTGCGTACCAATGCCTTTCCTCCCTTCTCGTTACCATGGTGATAGAGTGGGAACGCCCTCCGTCGCGGAGCAAATTGTCCTCGAGTCTGGCTACATGTCCATGTCAGGTCGAGGGGTTGGAGTTGCTTTGGGTGCCATAATCCTCTTTCTTTGGGAGAGGCCTGGTATGGAGATAGATTGCAGTGAGGTGGCCGGTCCTAGAAGGGTGGGAGCTTCAACCATTGGAAGTTTTCAAGAAGATACTGGACTGCCATCTGTCAGAAATGGTGTAGGGTCTCCTGCTTAGGTGGGGGTTGGACTAGATAACCCACAAGGTCCCTTCCAACTCTGTTATTTCTGTTATTCTGGTTCCCATTGCTTGGAGGCTGGGATTCCGTCTGTGGGATGTAGAACGCCTTGAATAGGACAAGACTTTGATACATGCAACTATGTAGGGCTATTGTGTCATAAAGATGAGGTAGCTCTAGGCAAAAGATTGAAAGTCCAGCTTTCCCCATGATGGCACCTTCATACTGATGAGCAATATTTATCAGTAATTTATTCTGTTTGTTGGGGACATTAAAAAAACAATTTGACTTGGCCATTAACAGATGAAATAATAGTCCAATGCTCATCTTGGCTCGCAGGCAAAATGGCTGTATTATTTCATGAAAAACTTAAGTTTGGGGGAAGTCAGATGTAAATGATTCATTTTATTTAGCAGCTTAAAGCCCATCAAGTGAAGGGAAGGGCAAATGGAAAGAGACAGGTGGGAGGTGAGAAGAATAAACAGGAGGTAGATGCTAATAGGAAAATGCTAATTGTTTACTGAAGTAAATATTCACCCAGCCATGTTTTGAGCAAGTCTCTAAGACATAACACACGTACATACTTTGAATAAGGACAATATATTTGTAGTCCATTTAGTGAACATTTAGAAATTTGACAGCTACCCAGTTATACAAATACCCATCTCGATATTTTCAATTTTAAGAGCATGGGAGTTCATATTTCTTGGCAAATAATGATTATAGTTGTGTTACCATCCCTTCTGCTTTAAAAGACACTTAAATTGTGTACAAAAATATCGCCCAAACTAAATATTATTTGTTGATTTACTTTAGGTTCCCTATGCCATAATAGTGAATATTATAAGCACAAACTTCCTAGTCAAGAAAATGCTTATAAAGTTATCTTTGAATATTAATAACTTGAGATGGATAGACTCATAATCCAAAGAAATCCCACTTTAGATACTCTGATTTACATGGGGGAGGGGGAATAAAATGTTGGTTATATGAGGTCACAGTTATACTTGACAACACCTGTGAACTCAGTAACTATATTTCAGATCTGTTCATTAGTCTCAGTTTTCTTAATACACATGTTGCTACTTACAGTACATATTGCTATTAGTTTCAGTAAGCCACTGAAACTATTAGCAAACAATGGATTGAGGAATGCAGGAAGGCAGTAGTGGAAGCAGTACAGTAAGTGCACTGATTGTGATTTGGCCACCTGATTATGAGGAAGTTGTGGTGAGTTCAACTAGCCGTGAATCCTGATTTGAGGCTCTGTATTAAAACAAGGCCAACTGTAATGAATATATAGGTTGTTATGAAACTGTGAGTGAGAATTCCTTATAAAATCAGGTTATGATCCAAAGATCTAATACTATGTTCTCCTTTACTTTTACCTTACTCTTTGTTGCTAGATAGGAGCTAGCTTTCTGGAGTTTCAGTGGACCATTATACTGGAAAAGGCAGCTTTGTAAACATTGAAAGAAAAATAGTTTGCACGTAAAATAATTTCCACAGCAGCTTGCTGAGGTTTTACCTTGTTTTTCAGGCTGTGCACTCTTTCATGATTTGGACAAGTCTGATAATGAAACGTCTTCAGGGCAAGCACCTATTGAAGAGAAAGAGACAGGTAAAAATTAATAAAGTTGAACTTCACCTTTCCAGGAAGACTTTGAGATCTCTAACAATAGATGGGGGTATTTAGCTTTTTCACATGTCTAACCCCTGGATATTAAAGTCTTAAATGTCTCATCATAGCATCATGTTCTGTCCAACTGATCTAGTCATAAATATACATATTATTTAGAACTATACAGCTGAAGACCCTTTCATCGTACTCTCTTAGGACTGTACCTCACTTTCATTTCTTTCAGAACTCACTTTTGTCCACATTGGCGCCAAGGAATTCACTCTACCATGCAAGCCTGAGAAAACAGATGTTGTGATTGGTATGAATCCTACCTACAACTGGAACCTGGAAAATGGAGGTTAGGCTTTGTTGCTCAGGGTTTTCTTGTGGAGGTATATATGAATATGTTCTGGCTTTCAAAGCTTCTTTAGATCACTCTGCCTCAGATTTTTGGAGAGCTGAATTCAAATACTTTATAAATATTTTATAGTAGGAATAAATTCCAAGTGCCTGTCAGACCTGCCCCAGTCTGATCTCCTAGGGAAGTAAAACTCTGAACTCCATTTGCTTGAAGTGAAAAGGCACTTTTACTAAGAGATGCTGATTGAAGTGGAGCCAAGCAGAATCTAAAGTTCCTGTGCACCAATTCAGGACTAACCCCTTGGTTCCTCTTAGCCCTCCCCCCATGGTCTGTCTGTGTGTAGCCAATCTAGCATCGCTGAGATGTTTTGGGAAATGCTGAAGTTGTTTGGGCTGGTAAAATTTCACTCTCATGGTAAACTGCCTTGAAGATGCCATCACGCTTTCACAAACTGGATTTCAAAACACTCTGTTCTTCAACTGTCAATCCCCACCTCCTAGTTTCCCATTAATAAGTTATACAACTTTATTGCCCATTTGTTTCTCTGTCCCTTCCCCGATTGATGGCAGAATGCCAGCAAGGCGCCAAGCTGAAACTGGTGGATCTGAGAGTGCCTTGCATGTAGCTAAACCTAAGAGCAGCGGTAGATAAGTTGGTGTCCTTCAGATGTTTTGGTGTGCAACTCTTAAAATATCTGATGGTTGGTCATCCTCGTTAGGACTTTTAGACTTCAGAATGTCTGGAGGATTCTTTTTTAAGACTGTTAAATGATTTGAACTTGCTAAATTAAATTAGAATATAAAATTATTTCCTGTTCCAGTTTAACAAGTTATTAAAAATTGACTCTAAATACAAATTACAAATGGCATTACACAACCTGAAAACTATATTATTAAATTGGCTTTTTGTTTGTAGTTGGTTTCTAACATAATATTATTTCTGAGTAATACCCACTTAGTTACTCAATCTGGACAAAGGTTTTTAAGGAGATGGAAATATTGCACAACAACCTTTAGTATTATTTCTAGTTTTATTTTTTGTAAAACGTGCAACATAATAATTTACTGCCAATTTATTGTAACAAAAGATATGAGTTCACTATCAGCTTTCTACAAGAAAACAAATAAATAAACATTCAATGATAAATTCAGATAAGTAGATTTACTGTAATAGTTATGAAATAATTCCTACAATTGTATTAAATGAGAACCTTATTTATGGTGCATTCAAAGTTCAAATATACTTGTAATATAATGCATTAGAAGCTATTCTCTTTGGATGGAAGTGATGGTTTCTGTCTGTCTCTTATTCTGATAGTAGGTGGATCAGGTACCAGGCTGTTCACTTGTATTGTATAACTTGGTCTCACATATGCTTTTTAAATTTGCATCAGTACATTTTAAAAGTGTGGATTATAACATTGGCTGAAAAACTAAATACAAGAAAGGATTTTAAAAGATTATTTAAAATTTGCTATTTTTACAATTGGCTTCAAATGTTTAGTTATATTAATAAAGTAATTCCCAACGGATCATCTTCCTCTATATGCCTCTTTTTTCTAAGCAGAAATATGGAATGTAGATGTTTAAAATGTTGTATCTTTGCAAAATATTACAAATGTACAACTGCAAATATCTCTGAAATCATTTATTGTATTACATTGTATTCTTCATGATATTCCTTTCAAAGTGTTGTTAATGTGTTGCTTGTATAAATATATAACTTTAAATACCTGGAGGGCACATAGCTTACTTCTTCCTTAGGCAAAAGCACAAGTGTATAATCTTTGATTTGCTAATAGTTATGTGTGTCAGAATGTGCACACAGAGAGAGATGGAAATACAGTTTAGAGAAAGAAATTTAACTTGTCAAGCCAATTTTTCCTCCTGGATCCAAATCTTAAGAATTGGCAGTGATGGTAGTCCTGTAGTTACACTGATGGCTTACTAATGGGCTGCCCTCCCAGATGCTACTGATTGCAGACCAGTATTGGTTGACTCTAAGGTAAGAAGGATTGAGACAGTGAGGCAGGTAGATTTATATGTGGGCTACAAAAACATTATACAAAACAGAACAGAACAGAACAGAATACTTTATTGGCCAAGTGTGATTGGACAGCAAGGAATTGTATTGGTGTAAATACTCTCAGTATATATAAAAGAAAAGATACATTCGTCAGGAGTGGAGAATCATAAGGTACGACACGTAATGATAGTCAGAGGGTACAATAAACAAACAATCATACTAGGAAACAGTCAATATAAATCGTAAGTATACAAGCGACAAAGTTACAGTCATATAGTCACAAGTGGGAATGGATGGGTGGTAACGAATGATGACAAGATTAACAGAAACAGTAGTGCAGACTTTGTAATAGTTGAACAGGGTTGAGGGAATTACTTGTTTAGCAGTGATGGCACTAAGAGATGCAGAAAATTCTAACTCTGCTGTCATTTAGTGGTCCTCCAGATTTTTGTAGTTCAGATAGTCCTAATTATTTGACTCTTATCCAAGTACAAACATACAATTTTAGTCCCCTAAGACAAATCTGCAAGTGCTTTTCAACTTCCCAGGTAAAAAGCCAAGCTGATCAGAATTCTAATTTTAATAATAAT